ATACCTTACAATTTTTATAACAATTATATTTACAGTCGCGCAGTGAAAACGTAAAATTGATGTTGCGATCTTTTAGATATAAATATCACTTGGCTATTAAAAAGAGTAAAATTGCAGCTCATGATACATTTATTTCCAAATGCAAAAATTCTTCAAAGGCCATGTGGAAAGTTATTAAAGGTCAGTATTGCAAAAATGATGTGAACCCATCAAATATTGACGCAGAGACATTCAATGAAGAGTTTTTAAATATTCCATCTAGCTTGGTGGAAAATATAGACAGTAATAACCTAAATGATCCCCATCTGTCCCCAAGGTTCAATCCCCCAACTTTTAAATAATAGTAAGTGCATGGATGCGTACGGTCACAATTTGGACATAATTAAATGTATAATAAACATAATCATATCACCATTCACTTCGTTGCTAAATGAATGTCTACATTACAGCATTTTCCCGGATGTGTTAAAACTTGCTTGTGTTCTGCCGCTTCATAAAAAAGGAACGTAACTACTAATTATAGACCGGTATCCATCCTTCCAATTTTTTCGAAAGTATTTGAAATGATTCTGAAGAATCGGATTATAGATTTCATGGAAGGGAATCATTTGTTTTGCAGTAATCAGTTTGGTTTTCGACAACTACTGCCATTCTTAATTTCACTACGCAGATTATTGACAGTATAGAGGCACGTAGAAGTTGTACGTCTATATCTTTAGATCAAACTAAAGCCTTTGACTTGGTATCTCACAAGTTACTGTTAAAAAAGTTAAATTTGTATAATTTCACGCAGGATAGCATAAACTTAATTCAATCTTACTTAAGCAATTTGTACAGTACAACAATAAAAAATCTCAATGTCGAGCTGTAACATTATGCGTTCCGCAGGGTTCCATAATTGGACCTGTTTTATTTTTAATTTTTATTAATGACATTTGTTTCTCTAGTCCAGGTGCCAGATTCACGCTGTATGCTGACGACATAACGTTAACTAGATTTCTTCCGATTTCGTGCAGAATGAAGAAAAAATAAGTAAGGCTTTATTAGATGTAAAACAATGGATTAGTGCTAATAAGCTAATTTTAAATATTAGTAAAACACAAAAAATTCAGTTCTCTTCATCAACGTCAAAAGAAGTAGTATCCATTAATTTCCTTGGCGTCCTTATTGATTCGAAACTGACGTGGGGCCAATACGAAGACAGAATTAGCGCAAAACTGGCTTCAGTCGCGTATCTGTTAAAACATTTATCTAACATGGTGTCGAAACCGATTTTAAAATGTGTCTATTACAGTTATGCCCACTCAATAATTTGTTATGGAATAATAGCGTGGGGCCACTCCACTGCAATGAAAAGAATATTTGCGATGCAAAGAAGGTGTGTCCGAAGTGTAGCTAGTGCTGGATACAGAGAAGACTGTCGTTACATTTTTCAATCTTTCAAAATTCTTACAGCGCCTTCTCAGTACGTACTAGAATGTTTGGTGTATGTTCATAAAAATAAATTAAATTATGTAGCCCATTCAGACATCCACAGGTACAACACACGTAACAGCAATAATCTTGTATGCGCGAAACTTAGACTTAAAAAATCGCAAGCTGCACATAACTACTGGGGGACGGTGTTTTATAACAGGTTGCCTGATCACATTCGATCAGAAAATACAAAGATTTTCAAAAACAAAATAAAGGCTTTTTTAACTGAAAACCCCTTATACAATATTAAAGATTTTCTTAACATTGACGTTAAATTATAAATTTTAATATTTCTTAGAGTTTACGTTTTATGTTTTATGTTATAGCAAGTCTCTGTGTTTTATATTTATATGTATTGTTCTGCTTTTATGACGCGTGTAAACATTACTTTTAATGTACTAGCACAATGAATATATATTATTATTATTATTATTATGAAACCCGCGAAGAATTAAGCGAATAAAAACATTCGGAAAATATAAAAATTCGCAAAATTAAAACAATTTTCCAGAATCGTAATAAGAAAAATCAAAAATTCGGAACTACAATTTTTCGTAAAATTTGGGACATTAACACATTCGAAATATTTATAAAAAATTAAAACAATCTTCATAAAGATTCAGAATCCTAGAAAGTAGAAAAAATAAATAAAAAAAATCACAAATTCACAAATTTAAAAGAAAACTAGAAAATACAAACATTTGAAGAATTATAAATTGAAAAAATTTTAAAAAACTAAAAAGATGTGAATATGGCCAATTGCACCGTAAAAATTAAGTATCGCTTAAAGTGAATCATAACTTAAATGCCATAGCAATGATTGTATTAATAATAATCATTGCCATAGATTTTAAGTTCGATTTAACTTTAAGCAAGGCTTAATTTTGTTAGTGCAACTGGGCATATGACATACTTTAAGAACTTCGGGGATGATCCGCACAAAAGCGCTGTTATAACAATGATGACAAACTCTTTGGCAATTCTCGAGTAATGTTGGAGAATTGTAAATTATCCACGCGCAATGTTCATTAATATTTACCACAATGTGTACAGGGGAGTCGATAATGGGGTAAAACAATTAGTCCACTAAACCAAGGAAACGCGTTAATGTAATCGATCGCATAAGCAAGATGCGTTAATGTAACTTGTAATTAATTATGTTATCCGTTCCCGTGGGTACAAAACGATAATTAACAGTGCCAGGAGTAATTGTGACAAGCCGTTAATTACTTTTCGTGTGTACTGTTGAGATATTGCATAATTAAACTGATTGCTAGCGCGTTTCACAATTTATAAAAGCACATTACCTCACGAGATATTTGCCAAAAGCACACTACGGCCACAACACGAACATTAAGACATTCGCCATCCCCTGCCAAAATAGCCTAAATATGACAGAAGCGTACAGTAAACCTTGACGACAGCAGCTACCGAAACACCGCTATGATGGGACATTAGAAATGATTAATTTTAATTTTCAGGAACGCGCCGGAATGCGATATGCTTGCCAAATTGACTCGATTTCTGGTAGAACAAACGGTTTTTAACTAATAAGATGGATAGAAATAGCCCGACCCCGATTTTGCAAAAAATCGACAACGCGAATTCGTCAAACACGAAAAAAATTGTCGGGGGCGTATGAGTTTTAACATGGAGGAACGAAAATAAACTGGGATAGCTTGAAATATCTGTAAAATGACAGAAAAGACCAAAGTGTCGCCGTTATTCGAGTTAATTTTGAGTCAGCCACTAAAATCCAAGAGTTTTATTTAAAGATTTTATTATACTATTGAACCAAGGGGTGATTGGTATTAGACGTAATAATTATTTACATAGAAAGATTGAGACAGTGCAATGCCAAAAAAAAAACTTGGCAGCGTTTGTCAAACACATGGACAATAGACCCACCGTCAACTGTTTTTAGGTTAAGGTTAATAACATAAAAGTTGACAAAATAATGGCAGGTTACGTTAATTTTGACGTCATACGTTGAGGGAGTTATACACTTTTGGCAGAGGAAATGATGCGTTATTTTGTTGCTTTGCTTGCAAAACTGATCGAAGAATCAACTGCTTTTCTTAAACATGATTGCAAATCTAAATCCATTGAATAAAATAATACGTTTAAGCGTTTTTCTAATTGATAAATGCGTATCGATTATGATAGACAGGGTGTTAATACTAAGTCGTTACACCCGAAAACGGCAGTTAGAAGTCTTTAAAACAAACAACTTTTCTGAGTTCAAATTTTTGATTTGATGCCCCGATTCGTAGTTATTGGCGTTCTTTTGTTTTTCGAAAAATCGTCCTTTCCTTATTTTCTCTTTCTTATCTTATCTTTCAGTGCTCTACAACATTTGTTTTTGCAATAATTTTTTATATTTTGAAAGAACAAAATGGCGATCGATCAAAAATTAAAAACACCACACCGATTTTTGAAAATAAAACATTTATAAACGCCCTACACAACCTATTATAACATGTTTTTCAAGTTCGATTTTCAAAATGGTCACAATTCTCAGCGAGCGAGCAGGCAGACAGACAAGAGAGCGGGTCCAAAATGGCGGATTTAGGCCCGGTTGTATAATGTCAGTTTGAACTTCAGTTTATAGTTGATTGGCTAATATTTCACAAGTTGGCCAATCGTATTTCTCAAATCTGTCGGTTAAACCAAACTGACATTGTACAACCGGGCCTAAGAATAGTGACTAATAAAATGGCGTCCGATCCAAGATGGTGACCAACAAAACGCACCTCTCATTGGTTGTAACGTCACGAGCTCGTTTCTGATTGGTGTGACGTCACTTCGGGCGCCAGAAAATACATTGGTCTTCTACTCGCGTCGTGATCGTGCATGCGGACCACGAAGATGGCTTTATTGAGAAGGCGGCACCGACTTGTTCTTCCAGCGGGTTCAAGAGAAGCTTGCCCCTGTCAAACCGGTGATACGAGCACATGCCCCGGACGGTAGTTGCGCGACCATGACCACGAAGTTTTACGCTTCCTGCTTTACCACTGCGGTAGCTTGCGAACTGAGACTCTTGTCTAGTTCAAAGTTTGACGCGTAAAAGGTAAACAAATACGAGCGTGACTCATATACAGAACATTCCACAATAATTTCGTTTCCGTGCGCGATTATGTTACAAAAATAATAAAATGTTACCAAATTTACAATAACAGCGCACTCTTTGCATTGCACAAAAATTAAATTTATCACCACACACGATATTCAATTATAGAACTTTTTCAATTACATGTATACATTAAGTTGCCAGCATTCATGCCAAGAGGGAGTGTCCGTGTATATTTAGGGTTAGTTTTACCCTACCCTTATAATTGGTTTTGCTGGTCAAGCGTAAATATACATTTCCGTGCAGTGTGGCTAAAACGACGCGATTAATTTAAATGTTACGAATTGGTTTGAAATGAATTCAATTCAACCCCATTACAATCACACTTCTCAGGCGCTAGTTGAATAAACTGCCGTGCATTTGTGTGTAACAGAAATGAACAATACTAATCGATTTGTAAATTGAAGAAACCTACCTGTCAAAAATCCTAGCCTCCTTCAGAACGTTTCCGAGGTTAATGTAGGCGTCTAGAAAATTCGGATCCAAAGCGACAGCTTTTTCGAAATGATGTATGGCCAACCATATCTCCCCCTGAGCGTTAAAGACGCATCCCAAATTACTCCAGGCAACTGCAAAATCTGGCCGCGTTTCAATGGCCTTCAAGTAGCACGCCTAGGTAGAATACGTAATTAGTGCTGGTTATCATCGACAGGTTTGTCTCAAAATACAATCCATACAAATTGAGGGACCTCTCTGGCCGCTCAAAAGATCGCCTAGCGCAAAATTCGCCGACAAATCTGCACCATCGCAGAAAGCGCGCGCGCGGTGCAAAGATGTCATAAGCTTAGCCAATGTACGACGCTTGCTCAAGAGGTGCAACAAAGTTAGTTACGCAAAAAAGTGCCCTTTTTTCAACAATAAGAAACTTAACGCATTCGCATGACGCAAAAGAGAGGCCCCACTCCGTTACCTAAAAACAAAGACATCGCGGCTTGCGGCGCTTGCGCACATTACCTGACTTCACGCCCAAAGTATACCAACACTGTTCCATTCGGGGTTGAGCATCTGCGACGATATACCTGTATTATTATACACCAATAATAATACATTAGTCAAAGGTTTCATTTCACAAATCTGCCACATAACGAGCCATTACCAATCAGAGTAGATCACTAATGAACTTTACAACTTCTGCCCGGATTAATAATGGTTCATTTAAAATCAACTTAAAAACAAGAGCAAAAAGGTAGGGCGATGGGGATGACTATGTTCCTGAAAAACCATAAGTGTAAATTTTTTTTCAAAGTTCTCGCAAATTTTAACTGAAACTAAACATGAACTATCTGCAACGACATTTGAATGTAATGTTTACCCTTACGGATTTAGTCGCGGAAATGCCACAACTCGGTTTGTAACATAATCACTTATTTATATGGGAAAAAACGAAAAAAATTAAGTTTACTTCCTTCAGGAATTCCGAAATGAGCAGCAAAATGGTTTATATAACGAATTTGCATTGAATCAATAAGACAAAGTATTTTCAGCATTAAATTGTGCCAACAACTTTCACTATTATTCAAATTATTTTTGACATCTGACAGAAAAATGTGTTGGAACTCAAGGTTAATAGAGAGAATAGGTTGCCTCGTAACTAAGGAAACGCGTCATCGAGAATCCTGAAGTCCCATTTGATTGGTGTTTGAGTTTTCGTTCACTTTGACAATTATTTGAAATGTGTAAGTAATTGTCAGATATCCCTGAATTACGTATATGCGTATTATAATTCGATTGAATTACTGTTAGATATACTTCAGTATTAATTAAAGTTATTTGATGCCGGGTGGAAATATTTGTAGCGTTGCTATATGCAATAGCAGCTCTAACAAGTAACAAATCAAAAGCAAATGGCTTAAAAATTCAGTTTTTCAAATTTCCAAAAGATCCTGCATTGCAAAAAGAATGGACTATAAAGTGCAATCGAAAGGAGAAACTGAACCCCTTGTGCAATAGGGTATGCAGTCTGCATTTCCGGGCCGAAGATTATGCAGATGAAATGCAAGCTAGGCTACTGGGAATTGTCGCAAAAAAATTTAAAAAAAAATGGCTCGTATAGAATACCTACGTAGGTGTTTTTAAGATGGATAATGCTTATATTGTTTTCTTTTATTAACAGCTATTCCATCTTTGTATATAAAATCTTTACACGACGCTGAAGCTGAAGAAATAGAGTCCCAGAGAACAGCTATAGAAAGAAAAATGTTAGTAGAAGAACTGGTGCGCACTTCAAATAAGTCAGCATGTGTAATTTCGTTGTCTGCAGAAACAGAAGAAATTGAAACTTCTTGCATCAATATATCTGATACATCTTCGCCAAGCAAGGAAAACGATTATAATGTGTTAAAAATACAGTTCGACCATTTGCAAAAAGCATCAAGCATTGAAAAATGAAATTAAAATACTCCAAACCGATAACGAATCATTACAGAAAACCCTCCGTCATCTTGAAAAGCAGTTAAAAGGCGAATCTACTGACTTCGAAGTACAAGCCAAGTTTGCTTTCAAAAATTGTTTAACATCAAATCAAGTAGATATTATTTTAAAGAAAAAGAAGAAAGCAAGATGGGCTCCAGAAGAAGTGTCTAAGGCTTTTACTCTACGATATTTTAGTAAACGGTGCTACATTTATTTAAGGGAAAAGCTACATTATCCACTTCCCGGTTTATCTACATTACAACGCTGGGCTGCGAGTCCTAACTTAAGGAGTGGAATTTTAGAAGATGTACTATCTATTATGGGCACTGCAGGGCAAACAAAATCCAATATTAACCGTACTACTGTTTTATCATTCGATGAAATAAAAATTTCTTCACTATACGAATACGACCAAAAGGAAGACGAGATTTTAGGTAAGCACTCGTATATGCAGGTCATAATGGCCAGAGGATTGTTCGAAAACTGGAAACAACCCATATATATTGGATTCGATCAGAGGGTTACAAAAGCACTATTAGAGAATACCATCACGCGATTACATGAAATCGGTTATAGTGTAGTTGCTTGCACTTCAGACTGCGGGGGTGGCAACCAAGGAATTTGGAAACAATTAAATATTAACGTAGATCATACTTTCATACATCATCCCATTACAAAAGAGAACATCTATTTTTTTGCTGACGTGTCGCATTTATTAAAGTTACTAAGAAATTGGTTCTTGGATAACGGATTTGTTTTGAGTGATGGATCTGACATTAACCCTGGACCTGTAAAGAAATTAATCGAAATTACTAGAACCGAAATCAATTCCTGCTATAAATTAAATTCTCTGCATACCCACTGTGAAAAAGCTCAACGACAAAATGTGAAATTAGCAGCGCAATTATTTTCAAACACCACTGCTACTGCTTTAAAACGATATTTCACAGATGATAATAACAAAAACCTTCAAAGAAATCTAGAAATCTAGGTGATTTTATTCATTTGGTAAACAATTGGTTTGATATCATGAATAGTTATTCTCCTTCTACTAATATTCCATCAAAGAAACCATATGGTTTAGATCTTGAGTTGCAGAACGAAACTCTCGAGTCTATGATATCTACGATTAGTGGGATGTTATGCAAAGGAAAAAAAACCCTTCAAGTATTTCAGAAAGAGATAATTATTTCAACTAGATCATTGCAGCAATTGTTTGCAGATCGCTTCAATGTTAAATATATATTAACACATCGTCTCAATCAGGACTGTTTGGAGAATTTCTTTTCTCAGGTATAGTGAATTTGTGTTTCAGACTTATAGAAGATAGCTTTATTTTTATAGGCAGAAATCTTTACAACATCTGCTTACAATTTTCTAATAATTTTTTTTCAGATTAGAACCCGGGGAGGTGTTCATGATCACCCTTCACCCCTAAACGCGCTTTACAGGATTAGAATGATCCTTTTGGGCAAAAATCCCGGCATGGTGCAAACTAATGCGAATGTGGCAATTTCTCCTGAAATCAAACAGGACGAATATTTACTATCCAGCGTGTTAAAACGAGCTCGCATAATTGAAAGGATTCCCGAAGTAGTAGAAACTGAATTTATCAAAATGAATACGGACGTAGCACTGACTCAAGTACAAGAAAGTCGAGATTTCTCTGATAGATCAATTATTCCAAGTACATCAGGCAGAGAAATGTCCGAAAATGACGGACTGGTCTATATTGCTGGTTATTTGGCTAAAAAAATGTTAAGAAATATCCACACCTTGGTAGATATACATTCCAAACTGAAGAAGCCGTTACTTTACATAATTACAACATTCCATCCTGGATTCAAAGTTTGTCATTTGGTGGCCTAATTCAACCCTCTCAACAATGGATACAGCAAGTAACTCTGATGGATAAATATTTTCAAGAATATCATTAGGACGAATTTAAACGATGTAAACAAATTATTGTAACAACTTCCGCTTTTATTGCAACCAAAGTCAGAGATGTACCGAATGACTTGCTAAAAGCATTTTGCAGACTAAGAATTTTTGTTAGAATTAAATATCTAAATTTAAAACTGGAAGAAGAAAAGCGCAAAAAAATTAAATTTCCTAGATCAGATCCTGAGACAACATTTAAAAAAAATGAGAAAAACTTTAAACTAATTCTACGGTTATTAAGAAAAAAACTAGAAGTTGTACTGAAAGGTTCTAGGCATTGGTGCTAATTGAGTGAGGCGTGAGCAAACAATATTGCAGGACGAATTAGGTTTTCCTGCAGTTTTCCTAATTCGTAAGTTAAATACCGGATTAGTATACTTATACATCAACTTAAGACCTGCTGCAGTGACACCTCCTAAATAGCTTTATGCGGATCACTCTGTAACTGGGCAAAAGCCTGTTGAGGGCCCATAATAAGAGAGGGACAATAAATAAATAAATAAACTATTCATATATTTTAATAAAGTGTTTATAATATTTCGCTAGCATGTTTCTTACAATGCAATGCAAGGACTGTTCAGAACATCCGTGTAAAGTACCATTTCGATCCATTTTGCATTTTTTGAACTTGTTCTGTTGTTGTTGCGTTAATAATTAATTTTTATGATGTGGACAAAGTGGGATTCCGGGTGACGTCATTCGCGTATTTTAATAGTGAACGTTTATTGGCTGAAAGTTACGAAACCTATTCTCTCTATTAACCTTGGTTGGAACTGTTAAATCATATGACACAATGAATGAAACTTTTTTCCCATTTAATTTCATATAATAAAATACAAATGCCAGCCATTACTATAAAGTTCTGTGGTGCGCCCTTATTCTCATAGTAAAGACGTTTTCAAAAATGCAATTGCGTTAAATTAGTAATTTAATTAGAATTTACGGTCTTTTGATTTTATGCAAATATTTCTTTTAAAGGTTTTGTTTATGCCCGAGTGGTGAGTGGTCTAGTGACCGTTTGCCACATAGCAATTTTATGTTGCACCCACCATCAGTCGTATCACTCTTCTGCATACAAAATACTTGTAGGGCGTGACTTAACACCGCCCCACATCAAAATACCATACATCATTGTACTATGGAAAAGTGAAAAATATACCATTTGTAAATACTCCAGTTATTGCACATTTGTCTGATAGCAATGCGCATTTTGATAACTTGTTATTCAGGGAGTATATATGCTGAGTGAATGTTCAAGTCCAGAGTCCACCTAGTAATTTCACAGGATCACTTTCAGTAACTTGGTTTGTGGAAAAATTAGTTCCAGAGTTTTTGTTTCGTTCAACGTCAAGTGATTGCCGTGGAACCAATGTTTGACTCTTTTTTGATACAAGACTAGTGTCGTCAACGTATAAAATGAGGCTTATGTCAAAGTTATTTGTGTATATGATAAATAAAGTTGGTCCCAAAACTCCACCCTGAGGTACTCCGAATAGATTACGTTGGTTGGAGATGTGGCAATGTGGGGTACAAAAACTGATCTTGTGCGCGCGCTTCTTGCACATTGCTCTAAAGACAAAGAAAGATTGGACGCCAAATTTGAAATCAGAAAAGCTTTGGGTGATCAATTACAAAGCGTCTACCACAACTACGCACAATTTTACAAAAATCCGCTTGAATTAATCCTTTTTGGGAACTGCTGGAAAACTTACCTATGATTATCGGCCATTCACAGTAAACGTAATTGTGAATTGTATGTAGAAAAGGTTCACTCTTTCAAAAAGACCTAATTTTTTTCAGTTTATTGTTAGAGAACAATGAATATTCAAATATGAATCATTTTTTTAGCAGGGCGTGTCTGCAAGAATGAGTAAATCTGGGGTGCCCACTGCACACCACAGCATACATTTAAGCACGGTTGCCAAGTTTAATTAATTTAGAAACACACCATTTTGTAGCTCACAATATTAAAACCATATAAAGTCTGTATTATGTGTGATACTGCATTATTTACAGTTGACCCAAATCTCCTTTGATAACAAAATAACATTTTGATAAGATAACTCGTGTGCCGATTGTGACATCTCAGTTGAAACGAAAAAGTTAAAAATTGGCCAACACCACCAAACAAAACCAAACGAAATGAAAATTAAAAGAGAAAAACTACTATTGCACATTGCTGCTACGCACACCAGATCTCTATAAAACGACTAACAATATCAGCTTCCAATTATATACAAATATGAAAATCGCAGATTCTCACAACTAAAAATATTGTTACTCGCCTTTCTATTACGCATAAACTCTCCTTTGGCGGTTCCTATGACGCAAAACTTCATGAGGGCATACACAAAGCAATTTTCAAACGGTAAAAAGTAACAAAACAATCATTCGAAATTAAAAATACAGTAAAAATTGCTTTAAGTGCATCGAGACGCAACACAATTTACGCAGAGCGCTCAAAGAAATGTCGGCCAATTTGCAAACAGATTAATGTTACTTTTTCATTTCAATCTAATAATGCACCCTAATTAGTGAGCTCTCAATGGACTAATCATTACTTACTACTTGTAGTTCTTAATAAAATTCGCTTCGCCACAAAGTAATAATTAATACAAAGAGAAAGAAACTCACAGTTAGCGCAACTTAGAATGGTGGCGCGAAAGGAAGAAGGTGATAGAAAAAGCGAGAGTAATTGGAAAAGACGTACCTTAGCTTCATCCAATCTGCCTAGGGCTTTAAGTAAGTTACCTAAGTCACTACGGACACAATACAGCTCCTGCAAGTCAAAGTGAGTAAAGACGTTCGTGGTAAATCGTTAACACTTACAGGGTTATATTGTAGAGCCGTGATGTAAGCCTGCACCGCTTGCTCCATGTCACCGGCGGCGACTAACGCCGCGGCCAAGTTAATGTATCCATCGATAAAGTCGGGTTTCAGTCGAACTGCGTGTCTGTAATTATCCAAGGCTTCCTGTAATTGACCTCGTTCTTTGTATACGTTCCCAAGATTGCTGTAACAGAATAGAGGGATGGTTACTATTGTGCTATCAAATAGTGGCTTCATGTAGCCAAAATTGGCTCCCAGATGTATAAACTTCCAAATGCAAAACGGATAAGGGACTATCTCGAAAATTATCGGAGTTAAGCCACGGACGACCGGCCACAAGAAGTGGTTGTGACCAAAGTTGGTTGGAAGCATTACAGCATCCACCAAAAGTACAGTTATCGGACAAGAGTGTTACACTGCTGACAGTGTTTTCCGACTGCTAACGTGTCAGTGTCAAATAAGAATCAAATGGTTCATATTTTAAGTATGTGGGCTGCAACCCTGTTCCGCAAAAAAATTTAACGTGTTTGGGGATCATTTTGTAAATTTTCCAAAAAACGTTCTCATGAAAGAAATTGGCTTGTAGCAACCGCTACCCTCCTCCACAATCACTTACCAAAAGTGGCGTAAAACTGATTTTATCATATCCTTCACGATATTGTAACAAAAACGATCTAAACAAAAGGAATTAATTTCTCCCAATCTCCCCAATCCCTTATCGCGATTCTAATTCGTCGTGCCTCGAGAACAGAGTGTCCAACCAAAGTACTTACACTGGCAAAAAGTAACGTCGGGACAAGACATCTATTGGTGGGGTTTCCACTACAAGGCATTGGAGGAAGATACTCATAAAAAACGATATGTCTCATCCTGATTATCATATTGTTTTGTTTTCCAACATAAATTATTTTTTTCCATCTGTAATTTACCACACTGCACAATTAATAGTTATTTTTGCGTTCGGTAATTGAATGTAAATCTGTTGGACATTAAACTATTACTATTATTCATGGCGATTAGAAAGTCTGGATAAGACATCTCAATTGGAATTTCCCTGATATTTAAATAGTGTAAATTAAACATTTGTGTCGAAAGAAGGCATCCCCCTCCCTCACACCGCAAATTTTTGTCAAACCCTACTTTTACCCCTAGTAATGTTTAAAAAATCAGGCACAACAGTTGTGCACAGTTTATACTTATTTCATGGTTTTTAGCGCATTTTTTTAGGAAAAAAAAAACCCTCAGAAATATTGCATTTTCCCTTTGTAGGTACCTTCCCCCAACATTTTTACATTATCAATAGATTTGTCTTGCCTAGACGATCTTTCTGCCTTTTGAGAGAACCCTCCTCCGAAGGTCTGTTCTTCAGAAATTTGAACTAAAAGTTTTGACATCAGCAATAGATATGTCTCGTCCTGATGTTCCACTTGCACTTGACTAGTACCCTACAACAATCTGTTCTTGAGATATAAGGAATTATATCAGATGACGATAAGGGGTTGAGGAAGAGGACTATGGTTGGTAGAACATTAATTCCTTTCATTGAGTACCATGAAGGATAAAACCAGTTCCCCCCCCCCCCCCCTTTGGATAAGGGGTCAGAAAGAAGGGCGGTAGTTGGTTGAGAACGGTTCCTTTTGTTGAGACCTTTAATTAAAATACCATGATGGCTGGAACTTGTTCACGCCTCTCCCTTTAATTAAAAACCATGAAGGGTAGAACGTGCCCCCCACCTTCGCCCATTTACTTTGCACCACTAAAGGTATGTGTATGCAAAATCGGAGACCAATTGCTCTTACGCAGTTTTTATCTTCAAAAACAGCATCTGGGAAATAATTCATGGTAGAGAAAAGAGTACAGGTCAGACGGGTGGAAGTGTAGAGAAAGAAAATGATAGTGATAACGGTATACAACAGAAAAGGAATGAAGGATCTCTATATCCATTCCAAAAAAACTACTAGCATTTTCAACAAGACTTCAAAAATAAAATAGAAAATATGGTAAGTAGATGAAAGGGAGGAGTTAAGATTGGGGGGAGACTTTTATCCCAGAACAAGGACTTAACGGAAAATGAGTAGAGATGAGAAGAAGTACACAAGAGATAAAGAATCCAACAAAGAGGGAGAAGTGTTACCGGATTTATCAAAAAAGGGGTTGGAGAATTTTAAACGGAAATATGGAGGGAGATAAGTGTCAGCAATTCACATGTACCTATGGGAGGGAGAGAGAGGTCGGTAATAAATTACACAAAAATACTGAAAGAAATAGATGAATGTAAGGGAGGAACAAGGAAAGAATCAGATCGTAAACCGATGGACTTGAATTAAAAGAGAAGATCAAGAAATAAAAACACGCAAAGGCGAAGAGGTATACAGTTATGGACAAGACACTGTGAAACTGTATAGAAGAAGAATACAGGAACAAAAAGAAGAAGTAGGAGTGGAATAGGTAGGATGAATAAGAGTATTAAAGAAGCGATAGAGAAACCGAATTGGTGAAACAATAAAAGAATTGTGGGTTGAACAAAGAGCAAAATATTACGAAACAAATGGACACAGACATGGTGAGGTCGACAAGAGGAGAGGAGTAGGAGATAAGAGGGGAAATGAGCTGACAAAACGGGATCTGGATGCACAAATACAGAGGGTCAAGATAGAGAGGAAGTAGTACTTACAAAGATCTAACAAGGGAGTGGTTACCAAAATATTTCTAGGAAGGAAGAAAAAATATTAAAACAATAGCAAGATTCAGATGCGCTAATGGAGAGAGAGAGAGAAAGAAAGAGAAATGATAGAAACAAAAGAAGAAAGCAAATATAGAATATGCGAAGAGGAAGGAGAGGACATAGAACATTTGTACACGGTACCGAGGGAGGAGGTGAGAAATTTTAAAGAGGTAATTAATTATTTATTTAAATGTAGAATAATTTTTTATAATAATTAATTAGAAGTGAAACGCTAAGTGGATGATGTGGATTTTAAAGAAAGGAAAAAAATTTAGTTTTATTTTGTTATAAGTTTAATTTGAAAAAAGTCTTGCAAAGTAGAACCCCCTGTATATTTTAATCTAAAAAAATATGAGATAAATACTATATTCAAAAATGTATTTAAAAAATTTAGATTTGCATTAAAACAATTTCTAGTAGAAAAGCGTACTATCACCTAAATGAATACTTAAACATTTCAAACCTTTTAAAATATTTATTGCATGTTCGTCACAATTTTAGAATGTATCTTAATGTGTTTTTTAAATGTGTCGGTTTGTTTTAATATGTTATACATTTTGTAATTTTAGTATTTGTGCTAATAATAATAATAATAATAATAATGTATGTTGGTAAGTATGAATTACATACTATCCCTAGATTTCCAATGTGAGTGTGCGAATATTTATTTTATTTTTTATTTTTCTTTAGAACCCTACATAACTTCACCAGACACAGACACTAATCGTTACTTGATTTTAATCCGTGCGATTAGTTAACCAGGCTAGACCTGAGTTCTCACAAGAAACACCGATAATAATAATAATAATAATAATAATAATATATTTTCATGCATTGTACATCTACTTACAATCGTCATAAATCGAATCTGTATATGTATAACTAATAATTATGATAGGTTATCCTTACTGTAATTAATAAATTCCTGAACAGAGTAAAAAGCATTTGCAATTAAGAACTTTCTTAGTTTGTCTTTGTATGATGTAAAATCACTTTACTTGATTTTGTCAGGTAAACAGTTAAACAGTTTGTAAATAGTAATATGGGGACCATTTTGGGATTTAGTCAACCTGCAGAAGGGTACACGTAAAAAAGTTTTCTGTCCTATGAACATCACGTTGCGTTATAAAAGTATGCGCGTTCGACTTAGCATGGCATAAACCTGCTAAAATATACACACACGGTAATGTTAGAATGTTTAATGTCTTGAAGGTATTTCGGCAGTCATCCCGATATCTCACATTGGCGACGATCCCGATCGCACGACGCTGTAGCTTGAAGACATACTTCGCTTGCGAGCAGTTTCCCCAAGACAGTATGGCGTAGGACAGTAGGCTATGACACAGTGCATGGTAGGAGGTTAACAATACTGTCTGTGATACTTTGTTAGCCAGTTTACGTAGCACAAATATATTTGTGTTCAGTTTGGCGGAAATATAGTTGATGTGAGAATCGAACGATAATTTGGGATCCAAGTACACTCCAAGAAATTTCACACAATCAGGGTTGGGTGAATCAAGGTGTTTAAGTGAAAGCACCATGTTCTCCGTTTTTGTTTCGTTAATGGTTAGTTCATTCCATTCGCTCCACTGTTTAGCCATACTCAGGCTACAATTTGCTTGAGACAACAGATTAACAATGTTATCATCCTCAAGTAGTAAAGTAGCATCATCGGCGTAGAGTAGACACTTTGTGTTGGTAGAAATTACATATGGAAGGTCATTTATATATATTAAAAAAAGTAGTGGACCCAGTATGCTCCCTTGAGGCACTCCTCTTGCTAATGAAACCGTTTCAGAATATGTTCCGTTAATTCGGACACGTTGTTGCCTATTGGATAGGTACGATCCGATGAGAGCGATACTTGCTGTGTCGAAATTATAGGAAACAAGTTTATCCATTAAGATTGGGTGTGAAATACAATCAAAAGCTCTGGATAGGTCGATAAATGTAGCACTCAAGTACTCGCCATTTTCGAAACAATTTAATGTCTTGTTTACAAATGCAAGAATTGCGTTGTTTGTGCTTTTCCCAGATCGAAAACCATATTGATCGCAATGAAACAAGTTATTGTCTTCAAAATAACGGCTAATACGTTTGCTTAGCACTTTTTCAAACACTTTAGAGAACACTGGTAGGATGGAAATAGGACGATAATTTTGCACATTGTTTACGTCACCTTTTTTATGTACAGGTACTACTGCAGCGATTTTTAGTAAATCAGGGAATGCACCACTACTGAATGACGCATTAATTAATTTAACGAGCGGAAGTACATATAAGCTTACACTACTTTTAATGAGTAATAAGTATATTGTTTGTATGTATTAGGGACATGGTGTTGCCACCTACTATAAGGTAAAGCAACAACGAATAAATAAATAAATAAATGAAATATAACACACTAGGGATATTAAAAAAATACAAGATTCAAAAAGATTAAAAAAGAATTTTAAAAATTGAAAAATGGTTCGAAAGATTGCAAAAAATTCAAATAATTTTTTGAAAAATTGTACATCTTTTTGAACGAATATTGAATTTTTTGAATTTCTGTAATGTTATAGTTTTAAAAAGAGAATGTAACATCTTTTTAGAATAAAATATACAAAGTGTTCAACTAAAAGAATGACGCGAGACCCGCTAATGTTTTACCTGGTCCAATATACTGATTTTGAAAACGATAGATTATTCAGCAATCATTATAAACAAACTTTTGTAATAAAACATTTTTCTGTACCTATATGTAATTTTCCCCCGTATGTTTTTAGCGAGGGAATATTTGTAAATTATAATTTTGCCATTAGACCCAAAAAGAGCACATAACATCCTATGTTACATTTTTGATGGCACTAAGAATACAGTATAAGTGTAGAAAATGGAACACTATGTAACTGCTTATTATACCTCGTATTATACCTACATACTTAATACATAATTAAAGCTGGACAAAGATTTCTCTTTGGGTGCCTGCATAAACCAGAAAAGATTTTGACATACCAAAAATGCCTTGAAATTCCTACAGCACCTCTGCTGTAACATTGGGGTAGCTCAGGGTATAATATACAAACAATTGTTGCTATTTATATGTGAATAATGTGTGTAATTGCCAGGTAGGCACCAGGAGGCGTGTAATTTATTCAAGGTGGGCATGTGACTGTTCCTATTGTAATTTGTATAAACAACAGACAGTAAATTCCATTCTGTTATTATTGTCAGCATTTGTGGAGGCATTTGCTAATCTCCACAACTTTAAAGAAACACACTATCAAAATGGAGAAGTGTCCCCTAACTTATTCTACCTACATAGTAAAATAAAACACAGAGTAGTCTTGATAGAGAACACAAAAAAAAATTCATAATAATTGGTATAAATACTAATTAAAGATATATCTCATTGATATCGGGTTTAGGTGGTAGTTACGTAAATGACTTATTAACATTAGGACGAAGCGAGTTTCAAATATAACAGTTTCATCAGCGGAAATGAACTAACATTACCTGTAGGCCTCTGCCAGAAGAGGGTTTTGTTTAATCGCGAGCGTACTAAACTGTGCAGACTTGTCGAGACGACGACACTGGAAGTGTATACTGGAAAGCAGCAGCAGTACTCCAGTGTTTGTCTGATCCTGTCGCCATAACTGCATACAGTGTCTTTCGCCATTCTCGTAGTCGCCCGCTTGGTATTCGCGGTGCGCGAGCTCTAGTAAACCTAAAAGACGGTTCAAACTGTGACATACAAAAGGTCTTATACTTACCAACTGAGGAGATCGGTTGTAAATCGTTCATTTTTAAAAGTACACCTCCGGTTGCACTAGGGGCAGCCGCCGTTGTACCCGAACTTGCCTGACTTTGTTGGCTTCCACTAACTTGCTGGGCCTGCATTATGAAGAATCGTTATTGGAAGAGTACGCAAAATTTTTACTGTGGATAACTGCAATGCATAGACGCCAAGGTAAGTCTTTTGTGCTGCATCGATTCAATTTTAAAGTAATAAAAACTAGTCAAAATTACCGAGTAAAAAGAGACAGCGACAGACGAGCACGTAGAGGCAAAAACATCGCTCACAGCCGATTGGTGCAAATTTAATGGAAACTTTTTGGACATTTTTTCATGGTTTTCTGCCACTCGGCGATGCTGTCCGCTCTTTCGAAGTCGGCAACTTAATTTCTAGGTACTTACCGTTGCAATTAAGAACAATTAAGGTCGATTTAATAAACTGTGTCTAATGTTAATTTTAACCACGTTGCACAAAATGTGAATATCGCAACCTTGAAGCCCCCTCTTTCTTCTGTCGGAGACGCCGTGTAAATTTTATCGACGTCAACTGACACCCTAAACAGATCCGTACTTTCCTTTTTTTAAGGTCACCTCTATTGTGTGCATTGAGAATTGTGCCCCACTTAAAGGTTACATGCTTCAAATCAATATTCCTTAATTACTCTTTCGCGTTATTACATTACTACAATTCATTGTTACTACGCTTCTATTCATATCTATAGGCAACACACAATACATCCAATGAACTATCTTTACGTGAATTAGTCAAGACTTAATAGACATTATTTAATTGTCACAAAAATGGTTTTTCCGTTTTTCGTCAACCTCTCCATAAAGTCAAGTTACCAATTGTTTTAATTTTGCAAAAGGGATGATCCTTTGATCTCCCTATGTAACGAAGGTATCTTTTTATCTCACTTTGACCGGCTGGCTGGCTGGCAGCAAATGAGCGCCCGTAGAAGAACACTTGTAGAAAAACAAGGAGTGTACGTGTAGGTATCTACCGGGTCGTGTAACTTTAGGGAGAGGCCTACATGCTGTAGGGTGGGAGTCGGCGACATCTGGGCGCCATTCCTGAGCGTGGTTTACTAAAGCGGTGATTTTGTCAGTTTGTCGTGTCTCAACAGGCTTGTACCCAATTACAGAGTTATTACAGCCCCTTCAGAAGGTCTTAAGGTGTTCTATACTACTCCGGTATTTACCTTACGAATTAGGAAAACTGCAGGAAAACCTAATTCGGAGTAGCAGGCAGAAACTGATATAAGGAAATTCCCATCTGTGCCACAGATGAAAAATTCTTACCTCAGCCCAGGTTTGAACACCCGACCTTCCGGATATGTAGCCCAACGCTCTACCAGTGAGAAACATAGCCGGTTTTGCCGTACGTACCGTTTGCGCACGTACACGGTACAACAAGAAATCACTCATAAAGCACCGTCACCGCGTAACCACGTGGCTATGGACTGTTACTGATTTCGCTGGACCATTGCGGAAAACGTTCTTCACTTCTGAAAACTTCATGACGCTCTTCGTCGATTCATAGCTCATCGCCCCAGGCCCAAGATATCTTACAGTGACAACGCCACGAATTTTGTCGACATGACGAATGCCCTGAAGAAGACGGATTTGAATGCGGCCCAAAAGATTCAACTCTACCAATTCAATGGTATTTCAATCCTCCTGAGGCGGATTCTGGGAGCGTTTGGTGGGAACTATCACTGAGAGTTTGCACTTTTGAATAAAGCGATGAAGATCATTGACACATATGCGCTTTGATACTTCCTTTTAAAGTTTCGACGTAGCCCCACGCTTATTTGTCCCTAGAACCCTCGACGAGGGGGGTTGCTTGCGCAAATGTGACTGGACCATTTTTTTCGAAACCCATTTAGAATATTTGGGGCGACCACCAGAGCACCGGTAACCCATACATGAGTAGAGGAAGCCTACCCATTTAGGCGCTATCTACTTAGCCGATTTCTAGGTATATTGGGTGACTTTTTCAGTGATTTTTAGTTCCAAACTTGCATAATTGACCACAAAACTAAATAATTAAATCACATAAAGTGTTTATGGCACTCGGGGGGTGATTAACCCCGGAAGATATTAACCCCTGATTGTACTCCCTCCCCCGATATCCACACAAAATTCACTTCGTGGCTGCTGACCTTTTAGTCGCTATTTAACGTAGGAGTTCGTGGAGATGGATAAGTTGTGGTGGCATAAGTCCGTTGAACAGTAGTTATACCATTATCCTTTTTTTAGAACCCTCTTTAGAAGTCCCACTCAGCCTTTAAAACTGGTCCGTATCGATGAGAGGTAAGCTAGGAAATCTATACAGCCTCTCGGTATAGGAAGTTTTCGCCTACAATTTTTCCTACTTTGTATTCTGCGCTCTTTTTAACATCCACACGTTTTTAAGGGAGATATTGCATTGGGGTAAGAAATGAACCCCCCCCCCACCTCCCAACCCCATCCCCTTTGTTACAGAAATAGACGTTATGAAGCCTCATGAATCCGAATCATACAAATCTCGATGAGGTCGGTCTGTCTGTACTCTCATTTCCGGCTAAACGACTGAAGAAACCACAGAACAGGGGGTGTTCTGTGATTGGAACCACATTTGGTTACACCCTTGAAAGAAGTCTTTCGCCGTTTAAGTACCTACTTTCTTTTTCAATGTAGTCTTTTTACCTATTATTTCTGATTATACATTCCTATGCACCCTAGACGTTAAACTGAAAGTGCCCCGAGGGAGGATTGGAGGCTGCCGAGGGTGGTACAATGTAAAGTTTATTTTTTCAAAATTTTAAACGACTGTTGGCTTTTCTGTGGCCTTCTTCTTGCCGTAATTCTAATTTTTTTTGTAATTAGATTCGATGCACACTGGACCTCAAACTGAAAGTAAACGCATCTTGAGAGGAAAGATTGGATTTCTTCTGAGAGTAGGAGTGATGGCGAATTTTCTTTTCTAAAAATTTTAAATGGTTAGCTTCTCGGTGCTTTGCCTCTTGCAGTAATTGTTTAGCGTATTTTTCGTGAAGTTGAAGGTACATTTCAAAAATACGCTTTAGCCAATCAATAATGCGACGGCTTAATTACTTACTTGTTTCTTTTAATTACAAATTCGATATTTGTATGCACGCTATGCCTCAAACTGAATGTGGATGCAAGTTTGGGTACGGCAAGAAAGAAATAAACTACAAATAGTGGTATAGTGGAAAACTTATTTTTCTCAAAATGTTGTAGTAACCTATTGTGTTATTTCTCGAAGATTAAACTGAAGGTGGACCCAACTTGCAGGAAAAATTGGACTTCTTTTCCGAGGGTGGCGCAATGTTTTAACCAATTAGTTTGTAACCTTTCGTGCCCTTCCACTGGCAGTAATTCTAATTTTGTTTATGACAATTACAGATTCGGTATTTCTATGTACCTACGGTTTTGAAAAAAACACGGCCGTCATTATAGAAAATGGCGGTCAAAATACGGTTTTTTGGGTTTTATAGACAATAAGTTTTTTCAAGATCAAGCTAACTATAAGACTTACCTGAGTAACTTAATAGAGATCTTGACAGAGCAGCCGGTGATCACCATAAGATACTAAGGTCCTGGTGCAAAAATTTAGCATAGCAATCGCCTTTTTTTACTGCTTTATTAAAACAGCTCCAACGAGTTTTCAATTCTTTGGATTGACCACCACCACCACCATCTCAAAACGTGTACATTTGAGCTTGATCAAGGCAGAATGGTAATCCAATTAGGAAATGTACCAATTATTAGCAATTATCTTAATCATTTCAAAGACAAGGTTCCCATGGTGATAGAAACAGCACATTAACAAGCAATTACCAGGATAGTAATAATGATTTATTACTGTACAGATAATATTATCCACAGACCAAAAATAAATAGATATTAGGTACAAAGTAGGTAGTGTACTAACACGAGTTTAATATTTTGAAGACGACAATTAATCAAGTAAAACTTCTGCAAGAAAAAATCATTTGATTGCTGGCAACCCTCAGGTTCTTAATTTTTTAGGTACCTAATAAAGGTAAGGCTAGTTAACGGAGTGCGAAACACTAAGTACCCATGACAGATTTAAATTGGGACCCTCATATTCTTTGGCTAACGTAAAAGTAGACCACTTTAATACAAACAATTTGAAAAGAAACTGTAATCAAAATTGCATTTTAACTGATAATTGTAACAGCGCAAAAAGAATACATTTTATAGTTGTTTATTTATCTTAGCGTTAGCACATAGATTTAATCATTTTGGGTCACAAGTCACATTAGTACATATTATTTCCAGTTATGGATCAATTATATTACATCCGCCTTTCAAGAATTAATTCTCTGTTTAGAGTACAGCTATCCGCAAGGGATCAAAAATGTTGCACCCGTTTGATATTACTTACTTTGCCTCCCAATGTAACTACTTTTCTGGTTTTGTCAATTTTTCTAGTAGCTTTCAGAATAAACTGTGTACCCAAATTAGATTTTCATTGTTTAAACAATTTTTTACTAAAAAAGGGAAATTTTCAAAAGTAATAAAAAGAAATGCAATGTATAAATTAAGGACTAATTTGTACCCACAAAAATGGACTCTAAGAAGACATATTTAACAATTTCTTGGAGCAACCTGTAACGCGAGCTCTCTAGTGTGTTTATTAAGGATCGTCACGATCGTAAATAATTTTGTATTGCTCTGTTTGTCCGTCTGCCTGTCTATCCGTTGTATCAACTATTTAGTTCTTGATTATATTCCGCGACTCGAGAAACTAATCTTTTGAATTTAGGATTAATTTGTACCCAAGAGGAAACTGTAACTGATATTCTAATGAAACGTGTCACCGAAAGAAATTGGAACTTTCCTCCGCTACTCCTGTTTGAGATGAGTCGGTGACGGGAAGAGGGCGTGGGGTTAGAAATATATTTTATCTTTCACGGTATTCTAATGAAAGGTTTTAGCGAAAGGAATTAATTTCTCCTCCTCCTCGACCCCTTACTGTGATCCGTTCTAATTCCTCATATTGTCGGAGAAGGATACTCACAAAGGGACCATTGGGGATGTCAAAAACTTGAGCGAATATCTTGAAAATGAAGAAAGGAAGCGTAATAACGTACGTTGAACGGTAACTTCAAATACATATGTATCAAAAGCCTCGTGGATCCTTCGCAGAAGACATAAAAGTCAGGAAAATGATACATTACTGGCGAGGAAATATTGTAGGGGGCCGAGTACTTTAATTTCCGAGTCAGGTAATGTCATTTTACTGACGAGTTTTGTATTAAATTTTAACCGAAATTGTATTTTAATATAAAATTTCAATTTTTATATAGAACTTTTGATTAATGTTAATCTGTCAGTGATGACAGGAGTCATAATAGACATTTACAAATGTCACAAATGCGGCCGGTAAAGTGACGGTGCGGCCGGTAAAGTGACAGGTGCGGCCAGTAAAGTGACAAGCGGCAGGAAACGTAGTCTGGTCTGCCTCTGTCATGGAAACTAAAATTTCCTGACAGAAAGTAGGCATGAAAATGAAGGTTTCAGGACGATTTTGGGTAAAAATACATTAATTCCGTTTGCCTATGGTGCGTTCAACTTGGGACACACGGTAGAAAGATAGTATCCGTTATTTATGAAGTTAGAAAAAAACTTGTCCATGCATGTCCATTTGTAAGGGAAAATTTCTGGATATGTCGAAAGTTTTCGAGATTAGTCTAGGACAATATTAGGAGTGGTATCCAGTTCTCCTTTCATGCGGTCAAAATCACCTTCAAAAATTATGTGGTCAAGAAAAGGAGCGGAATCGAAATTGTGGGCCAGGATGGATAGATGCGAATTAGGAGAAGCCTTATTTTGCGACTACAATTCTTTCGGGAAGATCATTGGATAACAGACTTTGTTACTCAACTGGTAAACTATTATCCAGTTTCCTCAAATAGAAAAGAAAGCGTTACCCTGGTGCGGCGTACGTGGGGAAAATAACCGAAGGTAGTTTAATTCATCAGGAAAATGAATGTCCCAGCTGCTGAGAGTTTTAAGGAAATTAAAGAATTGTTGAAAAACTGAACCAGCGATATTGCACGTACACTAAAACGACTACAACCAATGTTGTTAATGTGTAATGAAATATTTGTTTTTTTTTTAATTTGTTACCTCATTAACGATTTGCGAGTTCTGTCTCCTTATAACGGTTTCGTGAGGTATACAAAACTTTTGTAAAGTTGAGGTCACCAGAAATTCATTTGAGACAAAGAGTCGAAAATAGTTGTAATGGATTCGCATTGGATCAACCTGTAAAAGTGCACAGCAAGCAAATTATTACATCCAATTACACTTTGAAGTTGATACAGGCGATACAGTAAGTCCTTGTTCCTTTTTTTTTGTCCATAACGTAAGTGGAACAGATCTTCGAAATTTTCCTATCGTCAATATTTTACGAGTTGAAATTCAAGTGAATGATCTTTTATCGTTGTTTATCGTCGAGTCGTAGAAGACCATAGAGCATCAGATAACGTTGGGGTCTGTATACAAAGACCGTAGTGCATAAGCCAATCTACGCCGTATTCCCGTTTTTGATTTTTGAAAAACGCCTTTTCTAAATTTGCGTCAACATCTTTGCGACGTGACTCCGATGGTCATAAACATTACGCACCGTAAGCCAGCTGATTGTTAACGTCATTGGATTTACGAAATATCTTATCGGGGTTCGTCACAATTAGAAAAAACCGGTTGAGTTGAGCAACGTTGTAGTTCCTGGAAAATTTGAGGAGAGGTCTTTTCCACTGCGATTGGATTGCATGTGGGGGGGCATAATAAAAATTGTGTTGTATGGAATTGAATTCGGTAATGGGCCATGTCAAAAATTGCCGTAATTTCAGGTAATTTTATGATGTTGAGCGTTATTTAATTGGTTGCATTTACACTGATAAAATCGTTGCCAAGTACAAATTGGTACGTGGTGTAAATCAAAAATTTCATAAAATACTTATTACGATTAATTAAAATTAATTACGCAGATGACTGTAAACAACTTTCTAATAACATGAGGTTCTAAAGAAAATTACATGTCGTTTATTTACGATTGTTTTAATTTTTAATAAACTCCCGACAAGGGCATCGTTACTGAGCTTGCGTGATTTACTTAACTTATTTTTAAGTCAACGACAATTTTCCCACATATAGTTTGAAATCTTCGGTGGTTCAACATGAACGGAAAAATGTCAGACGTACGTGAAAGAACATTTATTATGATTAAACCAGATGGTGTTCAAAGGACACTAGTTGGTAAAATTATTAAACGTTTCGAAAACAAAGGACTAAAATTAGTAGCGATTAAATTTATTTGGGTTAGTATTTTTGAATTTGAATTTTTGGATTTCAAAATTTCTTGAAAACTTCGCTAGGCTAAAGAAGAGAAGTTTGCGGAACATTACGCCGAATTGGCCGGTCGTAAGTTTTTCTCTGCACTTGTAAAATACATGAGCAGAGGTCCTGTGATGCCGATGGTTTGGGAAGGTCTTCATGCCGTCGAAATTGGAAGAGTGATATTGGGACAAACATGCTCTGAGGAATGTGCACCTGGGACTATTCGTGGAGATTTCAGTATTCAGGTGAGGTTCTTTTCGAGATATTTAATTAAGAACTATATCAGGGAGGGTTATCAAATAGTACCTACGTAGAGTTAAATGATAGGGTAATCTAGAGCCGATAGACAAATTTGCAAATTTTTAATCGTTGCATTGAGTTTTTTGCCTACTATTTTTTTCCTGATAAGAATACTGTGGTCTTTATAAATAAACATTTCCAAACATATCGAAAGAGATTAGGAATATGGTAATATATATCATAAACAACAACAAAGTAACGTTATATATACCTACGTAACTACATTGAATATCCAACTCCTCAATGGTAACTATAAGCGTAAAGTTGTATGTTTAATTTACTAACATTCAGCCGTTATCAGTTTGAATTTACTAATAATAGCAATTTCGTTATCAAACCGTTAACAACGCATGATCAATTCTGGTAATCCCTTTTTATAAAATATTCAAAATTTCATAATCCAAATCCAAAACCGTTTATTGTGCATTTGTGAAGCGAGGAAAGCAATTTCATACAATTAACTGCGTACCAAACCAACTTATTTCTCCAAACAAAGTGGCATTTGTTTACTTGTTTGCATTAGATATTCCACGATAATGTTTAATCGTCCATTTATGATTACTCGTTACTAACCTTCTTAATTATATTTATATAGACCTCTGCGGGATCGCCTTTGTTATATTTATTCTTCTTCCATTAGTGTCAAATCAATTTTGCACTATTGCTAGTTTTCCCCTTCGTTTTGGCACTATGCCAATACCAAATTGTTGAAATTTAAATAACAATAGGTACCATTTCTCTTATATCCTAATCAGTGGCGACCTTATGAATGGAATAATTGAATTGATCATTAAATTTGGGGGTCAATTTACTTGGCAGTAATTCAACTCATTACAACAAGCATTCTTCGACAAGCTATTACGCAACTAATAATTGCAAATGGTAAATTGTATTAAGATGGTACTTGCCCACCGCATAGTCATGCTTCGAAGTCTTCAAAGGTTAAGATCAAAATTGCAGCATATTGCCTATTGGAGTAATATTTTGATCAAAAATTAGTCCTTCATCAGAGCTTTAAACTGCAAAACAATACAAAATTAATAGTTCTATGCTTTTACTTAAGTTGTAACACTAGAAGATGCAAAAAACCTCATATCATTGATATTTAAAAAATGATTGTCGTTTAAATAAAACAATTAACACATTAAGATGTTTGAGGAACGTAGAATTGAGTACTTTTTTAAGGAAGGAAGAGTTAATTTAAAAAACAAGTTGCAAATCAGCATAATATGCATGATTAAAGCACATTTTTGGTAATATAGATCAATGTTTTATTAGTAAAGTTTAAAATTATCGATCTCACGAGTAATCTAACTCAAAATAGACGGGGGCCTGCACATCTATACTATAGCAGAAAGAGTTTAGTGAAAATTGGAAGTCTCTATAGCTATTGTAATTGCTGAGATCTCAGCCGAACAGCGAGCCAGCGAGCCATAACGAATATAATACCATTGTATATACAATGATAATACCGTATTTTCTTTCAAAAATGCCCTAAAAATGTAAATGTGCGGTTTCTGAATCTTCAAATTTCCATAAACTGCCATAAAAATCAACCAATTTTCTTCTACAGCTACAAGCGATTCATAATTCATCGCGGATTGATCGCTCTCCAATAATTCGATCACAAATCAATTTTTTTAAAGATGTATTAGGTACCAATCACAAGCGCTCAAAAATTTAAAATGTATTTAGATGTCGAATTTTTAGTTTTCCATCGTAATTTCTGAGGTGTATTGCTTATTTAAAATTTCCAACCCCCTCAATGGGTACAATTTGCTAATTCGGATTTGAGAGCATTTTGGCGCACTGGAGTATTCTAACAAAAATGAAAATGAATTACGGAAATCCTATGATTTACTTTCGTGGTAGATGATTAATGGGGAGGGGGCTCTTTACACACAAACATTTAAAGATCGCCTGGCATACATTCAAAATATATACTTACTATAATTCAAACAAAATCAACTCTGCGAAATATTGCATTTTCCCTTGGTAAATTCATAATTAAGTTTTTACATATAAGTAAGTAGATGTATCTCGTTCTGACGTTTCACTTGCCCTCTTCCCAAGATATTCGCTTCGAATTCAGCAATAGATGACTCCTCCAGACGATTCATTGTGTCTTTGAGAGCACCCCCTCCGACTAACCGCTCTTGAGTTACTTATAAGGAATTATAAAGAAGATGTAACCAGTCCATCCCCCAAGCCCCTCTTTTGATAAGGGGTTAGAAAGAAGGGTTTCTTTTGTTGACACCTTTAATTAGAATAGGTACCATGAAAGATCAAACTAATCCTCCCCTTTCCCACCGTCACCCACTGATCTCGAGAAGGAGTCCCGTGGGAAGGTTGTAGTTTGTACAAACCAATTAATTTCCATTGGACGTTTCATTAGGATACCATGAAGGGTAGAAGGTGTGTTTTTACTTGGCACCACAAATGATTTTTTTAGCCTGCACTATCCTAGATTTGATATCTTTCTCACTACGATTATCTGGTTTCAACAGGATGGTGCACCTGCGCACAACGTCCCAAGCGTGCGAGAATAACTATCAAACAAATTTCCTGGAAAATGAAAAATATGTTCGATAGGTATTCTCGCACGCTATTAGGGCGCTGTGTGTGAGCGCACCGTCCTGTGGAAACCGACAGTTTCCAACTTTTGTTTTTTTTTGTGTGCCGTACATCGTTAGTAAGTAATAAAAGAATCTACTCAATACAGTTTTGAGTGATCTAGTAATGCGCTGGATATTTTCATGGAATTCTTGGTTAGTGTGGAGCCTCTCGCAAAATGCGCGTTAGATCCAAGCACCCTTCTTAAAGTGAGTATATGAAAAGTAAAGCTCTGCGGCACTGCAGAGCTTGAAATGGAACGTGGATGGGTTATTGGACTCGTGGGTCATCGTTTTGAAACAGAGCAGTGGGTCAGCGGATCACTGGTTCTAACCGGAAGATTCGTTTTGACCCGCTGATCCGACAGTGTTGCAAATTGTAAACACAGACACTATGACTATTCCTTTATCTTACGGCAGAAACCAAACGTCAGAATCTAATGAGGCAAGAATTGTGACTGCCTAACTAAATTTGATAACTAATTACGACACAAGTGTTCTATTTAAGAATTAGGGAACTCTTTGTATCGCTGAATACTCACGATATGGCAATCATGATCCAACATCGATAGTTCCCTATGCTTCGTGACGCTTTGAACCCGTATTATTTATGATTATCGTACTAGGAGACAGGAGTGGCCCCAGTAGGTTCCTGCACCGAGATCTTTTGTGATTCCCGGTATTGTCTACCCTTTAAGAATACCTGTATCTTTAACAAAGTCCAGGATTTTGATAGGGCGAACCTTTGTTTCTTCCTTTTGTGTAATTTTCTCATTCTCATCTCATCACAATGGCAAATGACGTGATGTGGTGTTTCTTCTTCCTCATCACAACCCCTGCATAACGGGCTGAGAGGCAGTCCCATTTTGCGCAGGTGTTTGTGCAAAAGACAGTGGCCTGTGACCTCGCCTGTGACCATCTCTGTCGCAAGTTTGATCTTCATCTTTATTTTGCCTTTATTTTTGAGTGGGCGGGGTGTCAGCCAAGGCTACTCTACCAACCCAACCCACTATACATTTACAAATATTCATGCGCGAATCCGGATTCGAACCAGGGATCCTTAGCACCACAGTTCAGCTGCTTTAACTGAACTGCGCCATACGGGCCGGCTCGGATCGTACTTAGCTTTAAGATGCACGATGCTAATTTCCCGTTTGGGGTTTCCAGAAAGATCTTCCGTCCTGGAAGTTTTGACCAATGTTCCTCCTCGCCATTGACTGTCAGCCGGTATGACCCTCTAAGTGCCTCTGCCCTAATTACCAGGTGTAGTGGCGATACGCCCAAGATGGGTTCCATAGCTGCCGTAGGGGTCGTTATTATTGCCCCGGTAATTCCACGGCAAGTTCTTTCCCCCTATACGGGCATCCTCGTGCCGCCCGAACCACTACAACGTCGTTGTTAGGCGAGGGTGTCATATTTCTATGCTCTTTGGTTTTAGTATGGTATGAATCCATCTTATACACGATAGAATGTACTCCCTTGCTTTCCAGAGCAGTTTTAATCGAGTCTATGGTATCGCCCTTTAAACTACATCGACTACTCTGTGGATAGCACAGAATTTTCCTGGTTCATACGCACATTGGTGTTTACTGATGGGCTCGGAGCCCAGCATCTCATCCTTTATGTGTCGCTACAATAGTTTTAGGAGAAACGACATTAGACTTGGTTTGGGCGTACGAGTCTCGCCTAGGTTTCGGTATGAATACGACTTCTACGTCCCTCCACGACATAGGCCAAAACTTGCCCTTAGTAACGTACATGTGGAGACTAACAGGCCGAGACCTTGTATAGTAGAGTAGGAAAGTTTCAATCCATCCCTGAGGATTTTGAACCCTTACCCTATTTGGTCTCCTCTATCACAAACCCCACCCATAGAAACAGAGATACTCAAAGAGCAAAAATTGTACCCATTAACCTCTCTTCAAACTGTTTATGTATTACATCACTTTTTCATCTTCTGGATTGTGTTCTTTATATTAGAAAAAACAACACTTTTCCACCCTGATGACAGGACAATAAATCAAACCGATTCAGTTACAAAACTGTGGCTCAAATAAATAATTAGGTAGTAGTAATTGTCACCGAATCAGGGCCTTCAGCACATTTCAACAATCAATCTAAAAAAAATAGTGAGGTTTCCAAGGGTATTTTTTCTTGGTTATGACAACCTAAGTAAATCAATTTTCGTTACAGGGCAACCGCAATCATCCCATGGGCCGAAACGTCGTGCACGGATCTGACTCTGTCGAATCGGCGATTCGCGAGATCGACTTGTGGTTCAAGAAAGACGAAATAGTCGAATGGAAATCAGCTATGCACAGTTGGATCTATGAAGAGGACGACGACTAGCTTCCACTGCCCTCTAAAGCAATATCATTCGCAAAGAGCAATCTCTTATTTATACTCATTAAGATTTTCAAAATTGTTTAGACAATTTTTCGATGTAAATAATTATATAGGTAGGAAAGTACCTCCACTGCCTTGCCAGTAAATATTAGGAAATGTGATAGATTTCATATAGTTTTAGTAAATTACACGTTTCAAATTTTAAAGTAATCAATTTTAAATGTATAGGTATACTTAAGTGGTTAATTAAATTGGCGATTTCTATTAAGTAGTTACAATTATTTTACTACTGTTGTTATGTATAATAAAAGCTGTTTGACATAAGACGTTTCTGTGTTATATAATGGCACCTTGTTCGCCGAAGCAAATAATTATACTGTAAATATCACGCAAAGTAGGAAATTAATTGCGTAGTTGCCTACATCCTTTAATATTTTTAATGAACGACACAAAGATTTCTTTTCCAAAAGTGACTTTGTATATTTTGATTATTCGTTGTCATTTTGCATAAGAGCATCTTTCTAAATCCATCTGAACAATCTGAAGTAAGTAAGATATACTTTTCAAACTCAAAACGGAACCAGTAAAGCTGTACCATTGAATAAGTAATATTACTTATTCAATGGATGTACCTACTGAAAAAACAAAGACTGTCAGGTTTTGATTATCCAAGCCTACACTAATCTTTGGCGGTTTTCATTTACTACTCACTAATTAATTGTCCAACAATTAAATTTACCTATTACAGTGGTGTGCCAACTTAATGGTTAATTAGGTCAAAACAATCAATTGAAGCTATCGGAATTCAGAACGATTATTTGTTGTAAACATTTATTATTGACAATGATTTCATAAATTGTTGAGAGAGGAAGCTACGCTAATAAGTCTGTAATTTTGAAATTCATTTTTAATCATACCTTTCAAAAAAAGGGAAGTAGGTACCTACCTACTGATGCGTGTTTTAATTTGGTTGAAAATTTAGAGAATTTAAATGATAAATTTATTATATGAGTAAGGACTTCAATAATTAGGCTTATCTTGACCTACCTTGCGGTGGTATGGTGGATCAAAGCAGAAGCAAGCTTCATCTCAGTAGTAGTACTAGGTACACCCACAGCTGCCGAGGAGGTTCCTCTTCACTTAGTGGTGTAGAATGAAACAGTGAGGGCAGTGGCGTAGCAAGGTCTTCTGGCACCTGGGGCGGAATTTCAACTTGTCACCCTTACCATAATTAATCATAAGCCTTTTCAAATTTTAGATACGTTTTTGTCACCCCTACAGGGCTGGCACCCGGTGCAGGAGGATATAACAGTAATTGTAGACGGGGTGAGGATATAAGTATTTAGGTACAGAGATAACGTACCTAAGGGTGGAAAGCAGCGGATAGAGTACCGTGGAAAAGAGCCATCGGGGACCTACATTAGCAGAAAACTAATGATGATGCTGAGCTCTAGGAAATATACAAATTTCATCGATATCATTTGAACCAGCCAGTATAATTACAAAGTCATTTTTTGAAGGATCCTGTTTTCTGCAATCTGGTTTAACTTCGCGTTTGGCTTAAAGATCGATTCTGCTGTGCTTGAATGATTAATTTCAAACATGAGATTTCATAGTACAATCGACCAATAAAGACAAAGAAAAATGTATTATAAATTGTGCTGGAGTAATTAATTCCCAACTTGAGATTAATTAATGCACTTAAACATGGTATTTCGTTGTGCTCGAATTATTAATTTCGCACTTGATTGATTAGACCAATCAGTACATTATAAAGTGTACTAGTAGTTGTTTTAGAAAAGTAACGACATTCCATGCCAGCTAGTCGATAGGGGCTGTTGTGCTATAACGTAATTAATTTTAGAGTAAAATTGTAGGGAAGACTTTATTCTTTAGCATCACTCGATCTTGAATTGCACTTCCAAAGGACTCGTCTGTATAATTGTTTAAAGACCTACCTACATAGTTATGGATGCTTAGTTGGATTCTTGACTGAGTAGTTACAAAAAAGTGCACAAATAGGTATTATTAGATATAAGTATTAATAAAGTTCGACTTTTAATGTTGTCTAGTCCTCTGTCTATTTAATAATATAAATAAACTACTGAGTGAATGAAAACAGCTGCCAGCTGTGAATAAACAAGATTGACGTATTAAGTAAATCAAAAGAATTTACGGCGAAATGCATAGTGTTTTTGGTAAATTTATTTTGAGAATTTATTGGTTGTCACACATCAATCAAATCAAAGGTAAATGTAATCAAGGAGTTTACAATAAAGTGCCAGGACAAATATAAAGCATTCGAACAGTGAAACAAAGCTAAATTACTAAATGCCAAAACAATTATGTAAATTTTTAGCGTTTGCGAAAAACTGCAATTTCTTCAGAAAGTTTATAGGTCTTCAAATAAAGAAGAAAACCATAGTGTGTGGTATAGAATTTCGATCAGAAAGAAATTCTGTATTGAAAAATCCCAAAATACAATTTGGCGTCATTACGAAAAAATCAAGTCCTATGCCATTTGGCCGTGAAGTTGAAAACTATGTCAAAAATAATATTATACCTATTCAAATTCCTTTGTAAAATTTTTGCGAATATAACCAACATACCCCATGCGGCGAGGCAGGAAAACCGGGTACCTTATATAGGCATAGTGTGAAAAAAGGTTGCAGCCAATCCAGCAAATTACACTTAAGAACTCTTTTGAATAAGAAACATGTACGCAAACATAAAATTAAACTTCAAGGCCATTTTGGTGTCAGTTACTGTGTAAATCGGAGCACGTTGCCCCTTTTTGTGACTAAAAAACGCATCTGAAATTTTTGAAAAATCTTTCTGAAAAACTGAAAATGTCAAATTTCGTTTTCCTTTTCCTTAGTTTATGGATTTTTCTGGAAATTTTATGTAAAATTCGGCGACATCTGTTATTTTTCAAAAATTTCAATGCGTTTTTTTAGTCAGAAAAGGGGTCAATTTCACTTCCGCTTAATGCAGAGATCCCAAATGGTGAGTCACGAATCTGAACCACCGGGTCAAACATAGCAATTTAAAATGATAAGCGGTAATGCCCATGCAAAATCAATTATCCAAAAATATAAATATGTTAGTAAAGTCTGATGACATTTTAAAATACGTTACTTTCAACATATTTGTGGTCATTTGATCCAAAACCGTTCAATAAAAAAATCAATATACGTTCAACTTTAATATTATAGAAAAAGTGTGCCAAATTCGTGACAGAACAGCTTCCTAGCTCAAACCAAAAATAGCGCTTATCTTCAAAAAATGGGAAAGTGCAAATAACGTTTCCCACGAAAGTTTATTCCAATGTAGAATAATATTCAATAAAAATGATCCTGCAACAAAAACCAAAAGCTAGAGAAAAAAAGCTTTGAAGAAGCAACGGCAGGGCTGCCGTTAGCCTCGACGGGCCCCGGGAATATTTTTTGACCGGGCCCCTATAATTGAAATTTTTGTTATCCATCACCCTTATCTTAAACCGAGTCTTAAACTAGACATTTTTAATCTTGACTACTTAGATTTGAAAGGAGAACATTTGAATAATTTTCATACAGACACAGTAATTTTCATAATTTATTATGAATTTTTAGAATTCAAATAACCAAATTACAATGTAACTGTGCGGATTTTCATATTAAGCAAAAGTGAATATCACTCGCTCAAAATTAATTTCTCTAGCAATTTGAGCTTCAAGAGCTAATGTACCGAGATTGATTTAACGATCTTGACTCATAGTCGATCTCAAACGGTTTTTTACCTAGCGAGCCTTCTGCCAGTGTGCCGTAATTAGGAAATTTTGCTCAATGGTATGGTGTTTTAAATCTTCTGCTGTGCATATTTTTATATTCTACTCTCTCATGTAGAGATATGCATATGCAGATTTCTGTTAAAAAAGCAGGTTTCTCTTTTGGCCGGGCCCCCAGAATATGACCGGGCCCCGGGGCAAATGCCCCGGCTGACCCCCCTT